TAATATAATAATTTTAAGTAAAAACATTTCTCATAAATTTAAAGTTCTGTGAGAAACAAAATTGCAAATATTTGCAATATTTTATTTTTTCATATCTATTATTTTTAAACCAAAATTTATATGGTATTTTTAATTAATAAAACAATTTAAAGCATAAATTTGAAAATAAAAATTTAATTCTATGATTTTATTCTCTGAAATGATTAAAATAAAAATAACTTTAAGTAAAAGTTTAAAAATTAAAAATTAATTCTATGATTAACATAAAAACTATAAATATTTTAAATCCCACATTAAGTATCCGCTAAAAAAAAAAGTTAAAAATCTCTTTTGGTCCCTTATAATATTTTTTTGTTTCAATTTAGTCCCATTTTAATTTTAGGTCTCAATTTGGTTCTCAATAATTTAAATCATTGCAATTTGGGACTTCCGTCTAAATGATTTAAACGGAGTTAACTGGTGGCCACGTGGATGCCAGGTGGATGCCACGTAGGTGGATCCCAAAATACTTGAATACACCTGGAACCAAAACGGCCCGTTCTGAAACCAGAACGGCCCGTTCTGGTTACACTATTGATGTGTAAATTTTGTACCTGGAACGGGTCGTTCCGTTCTGGTTACACTATTGGTGTGTAAATTTTGTACCTGGAACGGGTCATTCCAGATGCAAAATTAACACACCAACAGTGTAACCAGAACGGGCCGTTCTGGTTCCAGAACGGGCCGTTCTGGTTCCAGAATTTCGTGCAAAAAAATTAAAGTACAAAGCATTTCAAACACTAGATTTGGAAATATTGTTAATGAGGATTGATAACTTCAATTGCTAAACATTTGGGCTATACAGTGTACCATTAAGGACGATGAGTGTATCACTAAGAACAATAGTAACAAGTTTTATTTCATTGTTAGTCAAACTGGACTGAACCACTTACTACCAAATTGACACTATACAGTCAAGGATGAAACGAAACAGTGTTTCCCCTTGAAGTCATTGACGATGTACCCCAACAATAACAACCTGTTCTTGAGGAGGTAAAACCTGAATTTTTGTGGTTTAGGGTTTCCCTTCAACGTTACCTAGATGATTTCCTTTCTCAATAATTTCTTTGAACTTTTTTAGTATATGTTATGTTCTAAATTTTTGTTTTCAGTTTATGAACTATGTTTCTGTCTTTGAATTTATGATATATTATAAATTTTTATTTTCAATTTGAATCACATTGCGGCATTTTAGTCAAGATTTTGAACTGGATAAGTTCAAATCAAAGAAGTATTTTGGAAGGTCATATTTTATTTGATTCTTTTTTTTAATAGTTTTATTCATAAATGAATATTAATTTATTGTATTTTTTATTTATTATATTTTTATTAATATAGATATAATAAAAAACATGAAGTTGGCGTTCTGGAACGGGCCGTTCTGAATTCAGAACGGCCCGTTCTGCTTCACTCATGTTGTGTTAAATTTGCATTTGGAACGGCCCGTTCCAATTGCAAAATTAACACATAACATTTACATGCAGAACTGGCCATTCTAGTTCTAGGTGTATTTGTGACATTTGGCATCCACCTATGCATCTACGTGGCATCCACCTGACATTCACGTCAGAAGGAGTTAACCTTGTTTAAATCATTTGGACGGAAGTCTCAAATTGCAATAATTTAAATTATTGAGGATTAAATTGAGACCTAAAATTAAAGTGGGACTAAATTGAAACAAAAAAATATTATCAGGGACCAAAAGAGATTTAAAAAAAAGAAAAAACAAAATTTAAATTATGTTGTTCTACAGTAATAATATTATGATTTATCTGCAATCTGACAGTGAGGGAGTTTGAAGGAGCATCATATCTGGTGCATCGCCACCACACTGAAACAAAACACTGTGATCCTTATCTTCATCGAAAAAGGTTTATTATATTAAAGTGAGAAACAGCGAAGACAAGTTGAAAGCCTTATCCGCGACTATTTAAAATTGTGAAATTGCCACCCTGTCCCTGTTCGGTTCCTCTTGTCCTTTTCTTTTCAATTTTCTCAATAAAAGCAAATTTTAGAAACTGAGTGACACGTGGTGTTCTGGGAATTTACCACGTGTCACTCTTGTACTCTTCCGTGATAATCTTGCACTTGCATTAATCACATATTTAAGAATTAATAGTTTCTAGTTGTTACCTGAGACTCTTACCACGAAAGAAATGAAATAAGTGTTTTTATCTAAAAAAAACAAATGAAACTTTATTTTTTGATTTTTCTATTTTCAATTAATTTTTTTTTGTAATTTATAAACATTTTCTTTACTTATACTTAATTTCTAGATATTTTTTTTATCTTTATTATAAATCAAATAAAAATTGAAAAGTTTAAAAATAATTTCAATATAATTTTTTTTATTTTACTTTCTCTGAATAACGTAAAAGAATATCAATTATTTTATTAATTTTTTTTCTTCATTTTCATTTTTTTTAATGTTTCTACTTCTCGTACAACAAGATATATAATTTATGCATGTTTATGTATGATAAGCTTAAGAATAATATTAAACTAATTAAAACTATAATTATTATTTACTGGTTAAATTATCCAGTTGTATTCCACATTATTTAGAAATTTTCAAGTAGGTTCTTATCTATTTTTTTATTAATTTATTTTCTAAACTTAAATAGTATATTCATAATATTAGTTAGTACTAGCTTGATGGTTTGAAACGAAAAAAGGTTAAAATACTATTTTAGTGTTTATAAGTTTACTTATTTTATATTTTAATATTTATACTTTAAAAAAATCAAATATATAATAAAAAAGATGTATTTTAAAATTTAAAATAAAAAAATAAAAAACAAAAAATAAATATAGAGACTTTAAATATTTATTTTAAATTAATTTATTTTTAAAAATAAAGTAAGTAAAATTCTAGAAACTAAAAAATATGTTAATCAAAATAAATTTATATTGATTTAAAATGTTTTCAAAATTCAATTAAAAATTATATTTTAATATAAAAATCTATTTAAATATTCTCAAATAATTTAGGAAGTAACAAAGTATTTTAAAGTTATTTAATTTAATTATTAAACTGATTTAATAGAAATTATTTTATTTTATCTTAAGAAATTTTAATCTTCAAAACTATAAAATAATTAAATTTAATAATTTTGAAATTGAAATACTATTTTTTTTATACATTTTTAAAGATTTATATAACATATTACTGAAATACTTATATTTTTAAAGTAATGGACTAAGAGCAACTCCAATGGAAGTTGCTTGTCCCATGAAACAACTCAAGTCCCGATTTTTTGTTATTGAAGAATTCTGATGTGGCAACATGAGTTGATTGAAGAAGAGAAAGAATTGTTTCCTTAAGTAATCGTTTCTTACCAGATTTCAAGCAGATTTTATTAAATATATTTGGAAATGTTTCGAAAATAATAATGATGAAAATTAATTTCATATAAATTTTATATATTTACTATTTTTTTTATTTTATTTTTAATATCTATTTATTGTATATTTTTTCTCATAATTTATTTTCTTTCATTGTAGTGTAATTATCTTTTTAATAAAAATTTAAATTTAGTTCATAAATGATTAAAAAAAATTCTAAAAGTTGAATTTCTTAAAATTTTTTATCATTGAAATAAATTTGTGTTTGAGTTGCTTAATGTTGATATAATACAATGAGAACTAGCAATAACAAATATACTCGTACCCGCGGGTAATACCCGAACCCGTCTCGACTTTGACGGGGAATACCCGGTTTGACCGAGTACGGGTACGGGTACAGGTAAAACCCCATATATTAAATCGGGTACAGGTACTGGTACGAGTATGTACTTACCCGCCCCGTACCCGTACCATACCTTTCTCCGTTCTCATTTTTAATTTAATATTCACTTTCAATTTAATTATATTAAAAAATTTTAATATTTTTTTATGTGTGATTATTTATTATAATATGAGATAAAGAAATAACTTAATTATAATTATAATATAGTAAAAAAAAAAATTAAAAATATCATTTTTTTATAAAAAAAATTGACAGGTACGAGTACGGGTACGAGTATACCCAATACCCGACGGGAACGGGGATGGGGATGAAAATCTATACTTAACGTGTATAGAGACAGGGATGGGGATGAGTTTAACTTGCGGAGACGGAAACGGGTATCATAAAACCCGTACATTGCCATCCCAAATGGGAACTACTTATTTCATTTTTAATGCATCAAAAAACTTAAATAAATTAATTTTATCGGAGATGCCTAATGGCTTCTTGGATTGAGCACTGTGTCTGGGTCCCATCGATGACGTGGCAGATAGTTCAATGTGACATCCAGCTGTCCACATAACCGGGTCGGGGCTCCGAATTCGAAGCACCATTTCCACGCTTGAATGTTATCCTCTCATACCACACACACCCAATCACACATGGCCACGTCACCACACTCGACAACTTTATCCGGCGTGAACATCTCTTATTGGCTAAAGTGCAGGCTCACGCAGTTTCCGGTGCAGCAGATTCCCGCACCCGGTGTCGGGGACACAAGATTAGGATGACATATAGGAGTATCAAAACAGTGACGAATCTCAATGCAGCGATAAACGGTGAGGAGCGCGCCACGTGTACCGAGGGCGATGGAGAACCCAATGAACGCGAGAAACGTGGCGTAACCTACGAGCTTTGCAGCTAATTTCAGACAACCCTCGCAGGTGGGTCCCACGCAAAACATAATCCTCGGTGACGGACTTGCCGAAGGACAAAGGATAAGGACGAACTCACGGGAGATTATACGCTACTTCCCACACATTTGTCTCACAATGCACCTCGAATTAGCAACGGTTGATTTTGATTAGTTTTGAGTGTTGGTGTTTCATCGAACGGTGGGGAAGTTTCCTTTTTATAAATAAAATAAAAAGAAAAAGGAAGTTGTTTTTAGTGGTTGACCCACGAAAACAAGTGAGCTTCCAAAAGTATCACACTGTTGCATGCTGTCTAGGCTCAGTGGAAAGAGATATCATGGGGTTGGGTGGCCATTGTGGATCAGTGAGAAAGCTCTTCCAAAAGATAATTCAAGATTTTTTCTCTTTATTATCTTAGTTATTTATATTATTATTTATATTTTGTTTTCCTTATTCTTCTCCTGAATGATGTATATGGATATGGATTCTAATTCTTATTTTTTTACATTCACTGAGTGAAAGTGAATTTGGAATTCAAGTCTGAGCCAAACTGGTAATTTTCTTGAACTGTTAGTTAATTCCATTTGGGTTCCTTGTTTTCATCTTTTCCTTTGCTCCTTTGGTCTTTTAAGTTATCTGGTTCTGACTTCTAAGTTCAGTCCATTTATGACATCAATCTCTGGAGGATTGTTTGGTTGCTGTTTCTTGTTGTAGCTGTTTATGTGATCTGAATCTATTCCATTCCTTTTGTTCACTCTCTCTCTCTCTATCTCTCTCTCTTGGATTGCTAGCATCTACATGTTTCTTCTCTCCCTTGATTTGATCCCTTTCTCCAAGCTCATCCTCAGAAAACTTCTGCTCTCTTTTTTGATGCTCTTCATTGTCACTCACCACAGATTCACCACCTGCACCTCTTGCCATTTCATGCTTTGTAACTTCTCTTTCACTCATTTCAGGACTAGTATTAGTTGACCCATAACTCAAAAACTAGTCTTGCTCAGTTCAGTTCACCTCACCCTCTTTTGTTTTCCATCCATTTGGTTGATTTGGGGTTACCCTTTTTGGTTATTGTTGACCTTGTTTGTGAGTAGACTATTGGTTGTTATTGCTGGGTGCTCTTGTATGGAGGGTTGATTACCTTGGATGGAACTTGTTGGTTCTGAGGGTTGGGTTTAGTTTAGTGTCTCAAACCATTGCAAATTAGGTTGTGATTGAGTTCAAGGATGGTGTCGAAATCCTATTCAAACCTATTGGAGTTGGCCTCTGGAGAGGCTCCATCATTTGGGTACATGAACAGGGGAATTCCAAGGATTATGACTGTGGCTGGGTTGATATCTGATGTTGATGATGACCCAGTTGAGAGTGTGTGTTCTGATCCATCTTCGTCGTCGGTGCACCGAGACCGGATAATCATGGTGGCTAATCAGCTTCCTTTAAGGGCTCAGAGAAGGCTAGATGGGAGTAAGAGTTGTTGGTCTTTTGAGTGGGATGAGAATTCACTTCTTCAGCTGAAAGATGGGTTGGGAGATGAAGATATTGAGGTTATTTATGTGGGGTGTCTCAAGGAGGAGGTGCATCCAAGTGAACAGGATGAGGTTTCACAGATACTTCTTGAGACCTACAAGTGTGTCCCAACTTTTCTCCCACCAGACCAGTTTACTAGGTACTATCATGGTTTTTGCAAGCAGCAGTTGTGGCCACTGTTTCATTACATGTTGCCCTTGTCACCAGAGCTTGGTGGGAGGTTCAATAGGTCACTGTGGCAGGCTTATGTCTCAGTCAATAAAATTTTTGCAGATAGAATAATGGAAGTAATCAACCCTGAAGATGATTATGTGTGGATACATGATTATCATCTGATGGTGTTGCCAACTTTCCTGAGGAAGAGATTCAACAGGGTGAAACTGGGGTTCTTCCTTCATAGCCCATTCCCTTCATCAGAAATATATAAGACATTGCCCGTTAGGGAGGAGATCCTGAGGGCCCTCCTCAATTCGGATTTGATTGGCTTCCATACGTTTGATTATGCGCGGCATTTCCTCTCCTGCTGTAGCCGGATGCTTGGCCTCACGTACGAATCGAAGCGAGGTTATATTGGAATTGAGTACTATGGTAGGACTGTTAGTATCAAAATTCTCCCTGTTGGCATCCACATGGGTCAGCTTCAATCGGTTTTGAGGCTGCCACAGACGGAAGAAAAAGTTTGTGAGCTCATTAGACGGTTTTCTGATCAAGGAAGGACAATGTTGCTTGGTGTGGATGACATGGATATTTTCAAGGGAATAAGTTTGAAGCTGTTGGCCATGGAGCAGCTTCTCATTCAGCACCCTGAGTATCAGGGAAGGGTAGTGCTGGTTCAGATAGCGAATCCTGCAAGGGGGCGAGGGAAGGATGTGAAGGAAATCCAAGCTGAGACGAAGGCCACGGTGAAACGGATTAATGAAACATTTGGGAAACCCGGGTATAATCCTGTTATTCTGATTGAGGAGCCTCTCAAGTTTTATGAGAGAGTTGCTTATTATGTTGTTGCTGAGTGTTGTTTAGTCACTGCAGTAAGGGATGGAATGAATCTCATACCGTATGAGTATATCATCAGTCGTCAAGGAAATGAGACATTGGATAAAGTTTTGGGTTTGGCAACCTCCCCGAAGAAGAAAAGCATGTTGGTTGTGTCTGAATTCATTGGCTGTTCCCCATCTTTAAGTGGAGCAATCAGAGTGAACCCGTGGAATATTGATGCAGTAGCAGATGCAATGGACTCTGCACTGGAAATGGCTGATTCAGAGAAGGAGCTTAGGCATGAAAAGCATTATAGATATGTGAGTACTCATGATGTAGGGTACTGGGCACGAAGCTTCTTGCAAGATTTGGAAAGGACTTGTAGCGATCATGTGCGGCGAAGATGGTGGGGGATTGGGTTTGGATTGAGCTTTAGAGTGGTTGCACTTGATCCCAACTTCAAGAAGCTCTCAATGGAGCACATAGTTTCAGCTTACAAGAGGACAAAAACTAGGGCAATCCTTCTAGACTATGATGGTACACTAATGCCTCAAGCGTCCATTGATAAGAGTCCAAGCAGTAAATCCCTTGAAATTCTTAGTAGTTTGTGTAGAGATAAGAACAACATGGTTTTCCTTGTTAGTGCTAGAAGCCGGAAGATGCTTTATGATTGGTTTTCACCTTGTGAGAATCTGGGAATTGCTGCTGAGCATGGTTACTTTTTGAGGTAAATTACTTAGAACCTGTTTGAATGCAAGATTAGAAACACTTTTGAGAATTTTTACTGGAAAAAAACTTTTTATTTTTAGTAGAGATGCTCTAAAAAATGTTTTGACTTTGTATCCTAATAGACGATTAATACTTCTTACCTTTTCAAGATTGGTGCTTTCATTGGGTATAATTAATGGTTGACATTGCTTTTTTATGTGATGTATGGTTTCAGAATGAAGCGAGATGAAGAGTGGGAAACACATGTTGCCGCAACGGACTGTAGTTGGAAACAAATTGCAGAACCTGTAATGAAACTTTATACTGAAACAACTGATGGGTCCACCATTGAAGACAAGGAGACTGCACTTGTTTGGTGCTATGAGGATGCAGATCCAGACTTTGGATCATGCCAAGCTAAGGAACTTCTAGATCATCTTGAGAGTGTGCTTGCAAATGAACCAGTAACAGTCAAGAGTGGCCAAAGTAATGTAGAAGTTAAACCACAGGTGTGTACAACATCCTACTTCTGGAATGAGTTGTTTGTAGCAAAAGATTCATTTTATATGTTGGATATTGATGATGTTAGCAACGACATCATCTGCTATATTTTGCATAAACTAATTCTAGATGAAAAACTGGTGGATAAGCTAGCAAATCTTGTATTTGATTAAGGCACAATTTGAAAACAAAATCCATTGTTCTGGTTAGAGTGATCAATAAAGGTACACTAGGATTGGTCAGAAAAAAGTCGAGGGTAATTGTCTTTTGTTCATTGAATTTTGGGTTTAATTAATTTATGTAAATCAAATTAAAGTGGGCAACATCTAGATCAAAGAAAGGATAGAGAATTGAAAGAAGAAAGGTTCTCAGTTAGTCAAGGTTTAACTGGTGAACTTTGCTACAATTTAGAATTATCCACATGTAGGTATTAATTAAGTTATTCAATTTCTTTTGCCTGAATTGAACCTGTACTTGTGAAATAACATAAAAGGAAACATAGTGAATTATTGTTGAACTGCCATGTTGATCAACTCTTAAAAAGATTTTAGTTTTTTCATTTTGCTTTGTGGTCATGTTTCTGAGAAATGCCAAATGTTTATATTTGATTGTATTACTTACATTTTAGCTTCTAATAGATACACATGTGTATGTAAACTATGCAGGGTGTGAGCAAGGGACTAGTGGCAAAACGCCTACTTTCTGCTATGCAAGAAAAGGGTATGTGCCCTGATTTTGTTTTATGCATAGGAGATGACAGGTCCGACGAAGACATGTTTGAGGTAATCACCAGTTCAATGGGCGGTCCGATCTCACCTCGGGCCGAAGTATTCGCCTGCACCGTTTGTCGAAAACCTAGTAAGGCCAAGTACTATCTGGATGATACAGCTGAAATAGTGAGATTGCTTCAGGGCTTAGCCTGTGTTTCAGAACAAGTAGTTTCATTTCAGAACAAATAGTTTGTTAAGCTTGGAAAAAATGGTGATGGTGGTGGTGGTGAGAGGTGTTATTACTATTGTGCTTGCTTTACTTTGTCATTGAGGATGTAGGATCGGTTGTGCTGCTCTTAATACACAATTAATATTATTGTTTTCCTTATATTATATTCCATGTAAATTATCCTAGTGGTTACTGAGAGAAGTTCTGTATCGGATTCTACTCCTTAACATGCTTGATTTCTGTCGGGAAAACTTGTACATAGATTTGGTTTCATTCCAATCATGAACTCTTTTTGTGCATTTCTTTCAGCCACATGTTTGAATGTCATCATGATGCTGTTTGTTTCAGACTTGGAGCATGTATGGGAAAAAAATACTTTTTCCCTTTCAGCTGTTTTTAAATGTTTAGGGACAGCGGTGAGTTTTTTACTCAAATAATACTATTTTAATTTTTTTTATCTAAATAGTAAGTGTACAAATTTATTTTTTAAACTAGCATCATTTACTGTTTACTTTTCGAAACTGGAAGTTTTGAAATCAAAATGGTCTGTTCTGGATTAAAAAATAATACATGAAAAATAAATTAGAATGGACTGTTTCAAAATTAAAATTAGCACATAAAAAGAGGAATCAGAACGGCCTGTTTTGCTTTTAGAACGGGTCGTTCTGACTTATAAATAATTTTTTTTTACTTATCAAATATTACAAACATTTCATTTGGAGAGTTTCAACATGAAGATTATTGACCTATTTACACTGGTCCAACTTTGTGGTTAAATCTAGAACTCAAGCGAATTTTCAAGGGTCGGTCAAAGTCCAGCAGGATTAAAACAGGGATGGACATTAGAGAACAACATAATCAGTTTCTGCCACTATTAATCTTTATTGTTGTATTGAATTTTAATAAATTTATTTAGATATATTTATAATATTAATATTCAATAAATTTAATTATTTGATGTTAACTTCTGAGTTATGATATTTGGTAAGTGAAAATCGAAAAAAAATATTTTTTGTAGGTTAGGACAACCCATTCTGAAAGCAAAATGGGCTGTTCTAGTTTCACTTTTTATGTGCTAATTTTGATTTTGGAACTGTCTGTTCTTATTTGTTTTTCATGTGTTATTTTTTAATCCGGAACGGCCCGTTCTGATTTCAGCGTGAATTGTAAATAGTGCTAGTTGGAGAAATAAATTTGTATCGTTACTATTAGGGTAAATTTTTTTAAAATAATATTATTTGAGTAAAAAACTCGACAACGGTTGACATTTTTATAAAAAAAATTTTTATAAATAATTTATTTTCTTGCATTTAGAATTTGAGGTTTGTGATTATTTTTTAATAGTTCTTTTTTTCTTTCTAAAGCTGATTTATTATATAAAATATGATTTTTAAATTAAAATAGATATTTTAAAATTGTTTTTCAACAAAATTTTTAAATAAATTTTTATTTTATTAATAATAATAATAATCAATTATTGGAATAATTTAATTTATATATTTATCTTGAACAAACATTGGTACAGTATTGTTCAGAAATGGTATTGGTTTAGGATTTAGGTTTAGATATTTTGGAAAAAAAATGTTTAGGGTTTAAGATTTATATAAACAAAAAAAGTTTAAATATTTTGGAATAAAATATAAGTATTAATTAAATTAATTTTATTTAATGTTCTTAATCTAAAATTGTTCCATAAATGAAAATATTATTTATAATAAATATATTATGATTAAATATATTTTAGTAAATATAGTAGATATTATATACAAAATTATAAAAAATTAAATATATTTAATAATTTTTTTAATTCGTATAATTTTTTTCTCATATATATATATATATATATATATATATTGTTAAATGAGCGCGAAATTATTACCATGATAGTGTGTTAAATTTTAGAGGATGCGTACTCTTTTTAAAGTTTTTCTTAACCTAATTTTGTCAATTTTTCTTAAAAGTATTCGTGAGTGATGAGATCGAGATGAATTACTCGAAATTTGAGATGTTTACAGGATCCATACTCCTTTTTATGTGCCTAATTTTGCCAAAATTTTCTTGAAGTATTCATGAGAGGTGCGATCGAGAGGAGTTACTGAAAATTTGGGACACAGTCTAAAAATATTTTTTTTAAAAATTATAATACTACTAATCTTTTATGCATGTCTCCATTTTTGGCACAACTATTTGTCCCATTTATATCCTATTATATATGATGGACCACGTATTAAACAAGTATATACTATTTTTTGTTAAATTTTGGCGATATGGGATTATTATTTTAGTACTTTCTTATTTTAATAAGTGTTATTCTAAGTTATTTTATTAAAAAAAATTTATAAATTTTTGTAGGTTATAATCAATTATGAATTTTATTTTTGTCAAAAATAGACTAATATTATGATTTATTTAATAATATTTAAAGTCACTAATAATTTGATTAAATATAATGGATCTTGGATATCTAATTCTAATATGTGAGAGAAGTGTAGATTTAACCTCCCATAATGAGAGGTGTCTAGGGTTAGTTAAATATTATGATTAGGTTTCTTTTGTCATTATAATAACAAATAATTATTTTATAAATTTGTTCCATTGAAAATCTTAAAAATATTGGATTATGTGATTTGATAAATGAAGACTTAACATTGCAAGCACTTTAACAATGTATAAAGAATTTTTAAAGTTACACTTAATCATATCTTTAACAAGTATGTAATTTAAAATCAGTGATGTAAATTTATATAAAGTGTGTAACACCCCGATTTTCACGGATTATACGAAGGCTCAAAGCTCAATAAGGGTGATTTAGTAGTCCAAAACGGGTCGTTTCCAAACTAGAACAGGCCATTCCAATCTACTAAAATGGCTTATAATCCTAGTTGGGAATGAGCCGCTCTGGTTTAAGAACGACCTGTTCTAGATGTGAATTTTACACATGATGAAAGGATCTAGCACGGGCCGTTCTAGATCTGAAACGTTTACTTCTGACATCTATAAATAGGAGACTCTGGCACTGCTCTTAGACACACTCTCTAAAGACCAAGGAGAACCAAGAGAAAGAGATCAACTAGGTTTTGCTCTAGCTTCATCTTTTGCTTATCCAGGTAAGAGGGGAGTGAGAAACCTCGCTCTGGGTGTGAGAATGTATGTTGGGTAAGGGGATTGCCCTCCAATCCTATGTTTGTTGTATGCTCATGTATGAGGAGTTTTTTCCAATTGTATCTGTTTCATCTCTGTTTCTTCTTGAATTTTCTAATTGATGTAATTAATATGTATGTATGAGTAAATTGTATTGTTTTAAATATTTATTGTATGAATTAGAGTGCTCTGTGGGTTCTTGAGAGAACCCTATGAGAAACAGGCAAAATATGAATATTTTATGTTGTGTTCCTTGTTGGATGAGATGTACAAATATGTGATTAATTTTGCAAATAGACAAGTTTTCATATGAATTAAAGTGCTCTATGGAGACTATGTGAATATGATGAGATAATGTAAAAAGTGAATATGAGACATGAGATATGATGTTATATGATAATGAGACATGATGATGTGATATGATAATGAGACATGACGATGTGATATGATAATGAGATATGACGATGTGATATGATAATGAGACATGATAATGTGATATGAGAATGCATAGAGTCTTGATTGACATGCATCATTTGCATAAATGTTTTTAAGGGTACGATATGGAATACACTGCCAGGGAAGGTCTTCTTGTGTGAAAGCTTGGGGATTAGTCCTTGAGGATAGTTCGGTTTGGAAGTCCCAGTCTCGCCCATTGTGTGCATGGGATGTATCTTGCGCGGCTTAGCTATCCTGACTAGACCCTGGTAGTATGTCCTTCTAGTGAGAGTGTGTAGAGGGTGTGACTCGACATATACTCCTAAATTACTCTCGTGTATTGTTAGCGGTAATACGACATGTGATATGTGTTACTGGCACCACATGCATGATAATATGTAGTCCGTGTCCATTACATGTGCATTTTAATGTTATATGTTAAAGTGATTTTTATGCCTTTGATGAAGGGAATGTGATATTGTTGTTAATCTATCTATGCTATGTACATATACATGTCTTGTTTGTGTTTGACTATCTGGTATGTATTCCTACACCGTGAGCTAGAGTGAGATGTTTCTCACTCCCTTTTCTTTTGTGTTATTTTCCTTGATTGTTATACAAGTTATTATCAACATGAGACCGAGGATGTCGGTGACGAAGCTTAGGCTTCAATGTTGGGCTTTACTTTGATAGGACATGTGACATCGGGGCATAGATAAGATTAGATTAGGACGTTGTTCTTATTATTTTGAAAACCTTAGCATTATATCTTTGTAATTTCTATTGATTAAGTTATTTTTTTAAGTCATGGATGTGGTACTCTCTATCTAAACACGTTTGGTATTTCAATTATGAAAGATTGTGTTCTTCAAATTCTATTATTTATGTGTTATGGTATGAAGCACCCTGCACAAGATGGCATCGTTGTTAGTGTAGAGATTTACCGGTGTTGTGCACAGGTCGATGTGCTCATCCGGGTCCGTCGTGCCATCGTAGCGGTCGAGGTGGAGAGGCTTCCACCCGTGAGGGAGTGGTGTTTCCATAATGCCATCCACAAAGGGGTGGCGGCGGAAGGTTGCCTGATCTCCTGCGACATGAGTAGGAGCCTTGCTGACTTCATGGGTCGGCTTGTGCGTCGGTGCATGAGACCGATGTGAA